ATGACTGTTACTATTGTTGGGTTCAAGTCTAGCAGTAGCCGATCACTTAAGAAGATTCGATTAAACTATCAGATTGGTGATCTAAGGATGGAGATGACATGCTACGTCATTGACGTGGAGATGAGCTATAACCTACTCCAACATGATTGTCACATCAGACTCCATCAATGCTTTAAGTATGTTGATGAGCAGGGGATTCTCCAAAGGGTCTATGCTAAAAAGCACTCCTTTAAAGGCGTTGAGATTACAATTTAGTGATGTAGAAGTCAATTTTGATTTGACCCAGTTTAATGACGTGGAAGTCGAGTTTGATTTGGCCTAGTTTAACGATGTAGATATCAAATTTGATTTGGCCTAGCTTAGTGACATTGAAGTCAAGATTGGAATTCTGTCCAGTTTAGCGACTTGGCGATCAATTTGATTTGGTCCAATTTAGTGACATGGAAATCAAATTGATTTGATCCCGTTTAATGACTTAGAGGCCAGATCAAATTTTTAATTTGGTCCAGTTTAATGACATAGATGTTAAATTTAGAATTTGGCCCAGTTTAATGATGTAGAAGTCAATTTTGAAATTTTGCCTAGTTTAACGACGTGGAGGTCAGATTTAAAATTTAGCCCAGTTTAATAACATAGAGGTCAATTTTAGAATTTTGACTAGTTTAACAAAGTGGAGGTCTGATTTAGAATTTTTTCAGCTTAGCAGCGTAGAGGTCAAATTTAATTTTAGATCTAGTTTAACGATGTAGTGGTCAAATTTGATTTAATCTAGTTTAACGACATAGAGGTCAATTTTGATTTGCTGTAAAAATTCTATATTTATTTAGCTAGTTTAACGACTTAGGAGTCGATGCAATTGAAACTTCTGATTTTGATTGTGTTCACATTTTGTTTACATGAATATATCTTGTAGTGTATTTCTTTTAAACCAATTTCATTTTGTCGTGTTTTCTTGCTACACCAATTTTTTAATCTAGTTTAGGGACATAGAGGTCATTGCCGAGCTTAATGACTTTCATATTTCTTGAATATATCTTTGTTTTTCAATATTTTGAGGGATCAATTTGCAATTCATGGGATTTTAGGACGAACATGCAATTTTTATAATTTCTAAATTTTATGGGGGACCAAACTACAATTATATTACTGGATTGCAAAAACTAGGCTAAAATGTAATTTCTCCAGTTTCTTTCCAGGGTCAAATTTATAAATTCAGGATAGTTTTATATTTTCTTGGCTTAAATGCAATTTTTGCAGCTTTTTCACGGAGTAAATTGCAAGTTCTGGACTATTTTGCAATTTCTAGATTTTTTTAAGGACTGAAATATTTATAGTTTTACCAGGGAGAAAACTGCACCTTTGGATTGTTTTATAGTTTCTAGCCTTAAATGTGTTTTCTGTAGCCTTTTTAGGAGTAAACAACAATTTCTGCAATTTTACTAGGGCGCAAACTGCAACTTTATAGAAATTTACTTGGCGTAAACAATAATTTATGGAGCTCCCAAATCGGAAGGCGTCTTTGTAATTTATAAAATTTGCATATGATATTGTTTGTGATATTTGGGATTTTTTGTAAAGACTTATTTGTAATCATTTGGGATAGTTGCGATTTTTTTTACAATAAATTTGACCTAATGCTTGCCATGGCAGTTCCTTTATGTGAACGTGGGGGTCACACCCACGAACGTGGAACCACGAGTGCCGAGGCAAAGGGCAGAGCCCAGTACGGCCCACCCAAGATTTTCATGCTCTTTTATAAATACCCATGCTAGAGTTTTTTTTGGCTGTGTGGGAGAAAGAAAAAAAAGACAGGGTTTTAGTCGGTCGGTAAAAGGAGAAAATTAGGGTTTTGCTTTGGGTTCTTTAGCGACTATTTAGAGGAGAAAAACATAGAGTTGTTAGATCTAAAAAGAGATATTGAGGAGAGAAAAAGAGAGAAGTTTGGAGAAATTTTACAAGAGAGAGGTCAATTTCTTTTGGGTAAAAATTAAATCTTCTTCTTTTAAGACAAGCTTGTGGATTGTACAAGTCGTCGGTGTTCTCCTCATAATGAAATCTCCCCTCACCCCTCCCATGGACGTAGGTAAGTTTGCCGAACCACGTAAATCTCATGTTTTTACTGTTTTCTGGGTGTTGGCTATTGCTTGTAGGTTTCCTCGACAATTCAGTCCTAGAACTGATGAGAGGAAGAGCATATACCTCACTTTTGTGATATTTCACTTTCTATTCTTAATTCCTTTGTGAAACGGGAATGTAGAGGTTGGCTTGAGTTTTTGTGAAAGTAAAAGCCAGGGCTTTCTCTCAGGTTATATTGCTCCCGCGGCGTGAGGGTGTGACTCTGCGTCCTACAATTAGTATCAGAGCGGTTATTCAGATTGGGAGTGGTGTAGCTTCTGGTTTGAGGTGGTGCTCGACAATTTCCTGAGAGAAGCGAATTTATTAATACAAGCGGATGATGGCATCAACTAGCAAAATAGTTAAAATTGAAAAGTATGAGATCAAAAAGTTCAATGGAAAGAATGATTTTTCCTATTGGAGGATGCAGATGAAATACTCGTTGATTTCGCAAAAATTGCATAAGGCTTTGGCTGGAAAAGAGATGAAGCATAAGGATATGTCTGATGAGGATTGTGAGAAGCTGGATCTAGAAGCACGGGCGTCAATTATCCTTTGCCTTGAAAGGGATATAGCTTTCTTAGTAGATGGAGAGGAAACGGCTATAGGCGTGTGGTCGAAGTTAGAAAGTACCTTCATGACGAATGTTTTCGTGGAAAGCTGCCTTCATCATTGATTTCATTAAACTTTAGTTGTTACAAATGGATTCAAATAACAAAAATAAAAGATTACAACTTTCTTGAAAATAAACGCAAGATCCGTTTATCGGCTCTTGCTTGCGTGGCTTCTTTGCCGGTGCCGGGGTTAATCCGTGGACGACCGCGAATCAGATCCGGTTGTAGGAAAATTCGGTAGAGCTTCTACCTCACCAAAGGGGGTTTTTGCTTGAAGCGCTGAGATCGACTAAGCGAAATCAGGGCTCTTCTCGAGATTAAGATAAAGCTTAATCTCAAGGAACGGACGTATGGGCTTCAGATCCTTCGAATGGCTTCTCCTTTATGCTGAAGTTCACCGGGATCTCGCTAACCTTCACTGAAATTTCGTGCTCCTTGACTCTCCAATCCAGCAGCACCTCGTCCTCTTGATAAAATTTCAGATCTCGAAAATGGAGGCCTTTGGCTCGTATTTATAGGCCCCGGATGCGGTTATTTGGATGAGAACAAGTGATTTGGCTCTATCTTCAGTTAACAATAGCCTAACCACGTTTGGGGATGATATCAAGTCAGTTAGGAACCCCTGGAACAGATAAATCCTGTGAAAACAGCTTCAAAACCGTCAAAACGCGTTTCGGGATCAGGACTGCGCGGCGCGGGTCAGACAGGTCCGACCAGCGCTTGCGCTGGTCGGTCACACCCGACCCGCACTTGCGTGGGTCGGATGCAATCCGACCCCGCTTGAGCGGGGTCGGTTGCATCCGACCCGCGCTTGCGCGGGTCAGACTGATCTGACCCGCGCTTGCGCAGGTCGGTTTGTTCCGTCCTGTGCTCGCGCAGGTTTCTGACTTTTTTTTTCTTTTCCTATTCTCTTTCTTCCGAGACTTGTTCTCTTCGCGTATTTGGTTCGCTTTGTTGACTTGTATGCTTCGCCGCGAGACCGACCGTCGAACGCACATTGGTTAACGTGCGCGTGTTGACCGACGCGCACGAGCTGGTTGACGTGTGCATGTTGACCGACGCACACGAGTTGGTTGACGTGCGTGTGTTGACCGACACGTACGAGTTGGTTTGATGTGCACGCGTTTGACCAATGCGTACGAGATGATTTGACGTGCGCGCGTTGACTGACGTGCACGAGATGGTTTGACGTGCGCGCGTTGACCGGCGCGCACGAGCTGGTTGACGTACGCGCGTTGACCGGCGCGTTGACCGGCGCGCACGAGCTGGTTGACGTACGCGCGTTGACCGGCGCGCACGAGTTGGTTTGACCTGCACGCGTTTGACCAACACGCACGAGATGATTTGACGTGTGCGCGTTGACTGGCGTGCACGAGCTGGTACGTGCGCGTGTTGACCGACGCGCACGGGTCGAATGGCGTGTGTGTGCTGAGCGACGCGCGCGAGCTGATTAGGTGAATCTTCTTGACTCGCCCATTCATTGCTTCCAGTTTCGTGCGGGTTCTCATAGACAATTTTAGACGCTTACAGATACCCCCTCCAAAGTGTTTCAGCCTCATTCTTTTATAGAGGAGTCTGAAATGCTTTGGATATGATGGATCCCCACCTTCAGTCGGTGTTAAAGGACCTACAGATGGTTTCGATTCTATCGACGTTGACTTTTATCGCAACGCGTTGACCGGCGTTGACCTAGGGCTATGCATTGACCGACGTTGACCTTAGGGTTTCGAATCGATCGGCGTTGACTCTTCGTCGCAACGCGTTGACCGGCGTCGACCCAGGGCTACGCGTTGACCGGCGTTGACCTTAGGGTTCCGCATTAACCTGAGGAGAACCAGTTTATACTCGTATGCTCCTGGGAGTTTCGGGAATTAGTTTAGCCTCGTGTACCCGTCGGAGGTTGTCAGGTTATCCTTAAGAATTATTATATGTAATATTCTCCAGGAACTTCCTGTCAAGATGGGAAATAGTTTAGACTCATGTACCCGTTGGAGTTTGGATTTCGAATATTCCGAAAGTAAGCTAGAATGCCGCGAAATTATCCAGGAGCTGAAATCGAACTCCGAAAATTCCGAATATGAGTGAAAATGTCGCGAAATTATCCGAGAGATGAAATTGAATTCCGAAAATTCCAAATACGAGTGAAAATGCGGCGAAATTATCCGAGAGATAAAATTAAACTCCGAAAATTTCGAAAACAGACGAAATCAGGCGAAGGCGAAAATACAGTAAAACGGGCGCCAAACTGGGTCGGGGCTGTGTAATAAGGGGTAAAAACCTCAGTTTCTCATCTTCTTCCTCTCTTTTGTTCGGTTCCAGGCCTTCTTCCTCAAAATAATTTCGGTTTCTTCTCCTTCCCAAGCTCTACCCATTCAAGAGTTCTTCCGGCTCAAGACTTCCAACTGAAATCAAAGTCCTCTTTAAATTCCCCTCTCCTCCTTCTTCTTCTCTTCCAATTTGGACTTGAACAAAAGGGCAGACCTAGGGTTTCGGCTGATCTTGACTTGGGCTCGAGCATTTGGGGATTCAATTCCTCTTCGAATTTCAGGTAAGCTTCAATGTCCTCTCTTCAATTTTGGCTAAGTCTTTGAGTTTTAGCTTGATAGTTGGAACCCTAGTTCTTGAATTTGGGGGAAATCCGAAATCTGATCTTAGGCTTTGAGTAATGGCCGAATTTTGAGCTTTTGGTTGTGTGCATGACTTGATAGTTGAAGCCATAATTCTTGAATTTTTGGGGAAAACCGAAATTTGGCCTTGGATTTGATTTTGCTCTTGAATTTTGATTTTGAGATTTAAGGATGATTGGAACCCTAATTTGGGTTCATGGGTTTCGGATTTGGATGTAAACCTTGCTTTCTCAATGACCATGGTTCAGCTCTCTTCTTCTTTGTCGAACCTGCTAATCTGTCATCTTCCACCTCTTCATAGGTGGTCTTGCTATCTCCTTAGTGATGATGGATATGTATTTCTTCCTACTACACACCGTATCTTCTTAAGACCTTGCTCAGAGATGGCATCATATTATATGCCTGGTATGACCTTCTCAGCTCAATAATGGAACCAACAATGATAAGCACTGATGTGAATCCAAGTGCAAATCCCTTATTGATACGCCTTAAATAGTGATCAAACAAGGTTGAAGAGGTAGCCAATATACTTAACAGTAGTCCTCCCCAGAAACGTGTTGAGGCTTGAATCTTTGTATGTAATTCGAACTCGAATTTTTATGTGGCCGAGAATTGGCTTGAATTTGCACTTGCATATGGTTTGAACTCTTGTATATAATTCAAATTCGAATTTGTATATAATTGAGCTCTTGTATTATTGAATTCATATGTAACTGAACTCGTGTGTGCCTTGAATCCAAACTTGTGTATGACTAAAGAACCTTATATGCCTTGAATTCGAGCTATTCTTGTACATGATTGAGCTTGTGAATCCACATGTTGACATGATTGAGGCCTTATATTTGACTCTGTGACACTTAACTTAAACCGAGAATGTCGTATAGATTTAATTGGACCCTTAATTGGAAAATTCCATTTTGTAGAATTTCAGACGGGAGATGGGGGTTATCTCTGGCCGCGGGTTTGCCCAAATTTTTTGGGCAATCCCGCGCCCTAAAAAATTTTCAGAAAATTAACTTTTAGCGACGGCTTTTCCGTCGCTAAAAGTCTTATTAACGTCGATATTTTGCCGACGGATATTCTCTGTCGAGACAGTAATGGCGACGAAAAATTTTCGTCGCCATTACTAATTCATCCGTCGGAAAAACAACATTACCGACAGATATATAGCAACGGACAATTCCGTCGCTATAGGTTAACTTATAGCAACAGAATTGTCCGTCGCTATATATCCGTCAGTAATAGTCGTATTTCTAGCAGTGATAGACTTTGGCTTCTTCCCTGAAAGGGATTGATACAGATTTTTTTGATACAGATAATCATCTATCTGTATTTTTCAGAATCCGAAATTTGTTCTATCTAACTTCTCTAATCTCACCTTTCCTTCATCTACGGTCGTCGCTCCCACTTGAATCTGACTTCCTCTAAATCGTTTCAGGCTCTGATACTAGTTGTTGAGAAATACCCGGGGCTACGATAAAACAGTAAAAAACGTAGTATAGAGAAAAGTACACCAAGATTTACGAGGTTCGGCAAACTTGCCTACGTCCTCCGGAGCCACACAATTAATTTTTTATTAATTAACAAGAAATTACAATGCAAGAGCAGATCTCAATGTTGAGATCTCTCAATAAATACGGATTATCACTGTAGCTACAGTAATAATTCCCTTCTTAAGTACCCCTCTTTGATTTTCCCCTCAATAAATTTCCTTTTCTTAAATTCCTTCCTCAAAATCACGTGAGCTGAAGGAGGAAGAGGAGAGAGAGAGAGAGAGAGAGAGAGAGAGAGAGAGAGAGAGAGAGAGAGAGAGAGAGAGAGAAAACGCGAGAGAGAGAGAGAGAGAGAGAGAGAGAGAGAGAGAGAGAGAGAGAAAACGCGAGGAGGAGGAGAAGCATTGGAGATCTCGGCGCTGGGTTTCCCTTTTATAGGGGAAACCCTAGGGATAGCTGGTGACAACTAGCGACGGCCTCGCCTGTGAAGAGCTTCCGCTCGACCCCGCCTGTAGAACCCTTGCTCGAGCTCGCCTGTACTTCGACCTCGCCTGCAAGTCTCCTGCTCGAGCTCGCCTGTTCTTCGATTCGACCTCGAGCTCGCCTGAACTGTGTTTGTTCTTCGACCTCGCCTGCGCCTCATGCTGGACCTCGCCTGAAGCCCTTGAGCTCGCCTGAGTCTTGTTGAGCTCACCTGCGTCGCCCCAAGCTCGCCTGCGTCGCCCCAAGCTCGCCTGACAGGTTTGGGCTACACCCAAATCCAACACTTAACACTTAAAACACACACACACGGACATAGATAGGGAACTTTTTCTTCTTCTTAGTTATACAAACTGCTATCGCCTTGGTTACTTAAAAGACCATTCCATGATTAAATATTTGCAATTAAACTAACCATTATGATTACACAGGCATATTTTAGCAGAAACTATATAAAACGAAGGGGTTATCCTCACTTAAATCAACCATTATGCCTATAAAATTGATTTCAATAGGAATTGTGTGTGAGTGTGTGTGTTTGCACATGCGTAGCACATGCCCATACCAGAAGTTTGTTACTGAATATTTGTAGATGAACCTTCCCCACTCTGCAGCGCTCTGTCTCTCTCCCCCTGATTTCCATCCCTCGTGAGCATATCTCTGACACTATGCAGTTCCTTGATAATGTTGTCCATCTCCATTCTCTCAGCTGGTAATTCATTTGAGCAAGAGATACCAATTCTAAGAATTGAAGCCATGCAGTTGGTTGCCCTTTCATAATTCATGCTTTCAGCATCATCACTTGGTGTGAGCAAATGAGCGTCAATGACATCTGTGATTTGTTCAGGAAATGCCATCTTCACAAACATAGGAAGAGTAAGACCTCCTACGAACATATCATCAGTGGGTCTCTTTCCTGTAAACATTTCCAGTAAAAGGATCCCATAGCTATACACATCTCCACAAGTTGAAACTCCATTCCCCATTCCGTACTCTGTCATAGGTGAAATACATAGAAGCAATTAGAATGGATTACACTGAGATAATTCCAAGAGAAAGAATAAAGTAAGACTGAGTATTACATTTTCCTTATCAAACTAATTTGGCAGGGAAATTTATTAAAATAGACCACTTTTGCTAAATATTTAGCAAAATAGATCATTTTGCTAAATATTTAGCAAAATAGACCTCTTTGTGGCCAATAGGCAAAAAAGAGGTCGATTTTAAAAAACAAGGCTCAGAAAACATACGGGACTAGTAGTCCCGTTTGTTTTCTGAGCCTTGTTTTTCAAAATGGCGGTGATTAAGTTGGCTCTAAACATACGGGACTAGTAGTCCCGTATGTTTTCTGAGCCCTGTTTTTCAAAATCGACATTTTTTTGGCCTATTGGCCAAAAAGAGGTCTATTTTGCTAAATATTTAGCAAAGTGGTCTATTTTGCTAAATATTTAGCAAAAATGGTCTATTTTAAAAAATTCCCCAATTTGGCAATATATGGAATGCTAAGAGAATATTTTCAGTGAAGTATATAAGATGAACACATAGATGTCATAGTTTAATTATGGTAATAAAATTACATCTTTAAATTCAGTACACATTCTAACAGAAATGTGTTAGTAAAACATGCACGTATGGATTTGAAGCTTGAACGTGTGAAGAAAAACAAACAATGCATTGTGTTCAACTATAAAAGGAAAATCTACGGTGATGTTTAAGGTTCAGATGGTAATCTTGTTTTCTCTTTTAAAATTTTAGCCTAAGAAAATAATACAACATATATAAAAGTAACGAAATCAAGAAAGTATAAGTTTTTACCTGGAGCAATATACCCGACAGTTCCTCTGAGACCAGCTGAACTTGTTGAGTACTGAGAGGTAACCTTTTTGAGAAACTTGGCTAACCCAAAGTCACCAACATGAGCAGTAATACTATCATCCAGAAGAATGTTGCTTGGCTTCAGATCACAATGAACAATTTGTTTGCCAGATTGATGGTGGAGATAATCCAAAGCATAAGCTACGTCAATAGCTATATCTAACCTTGCCGTAAGGTCCAATTTCTTTGGTTTGGGCTGCACATTTGCTTTGGGATGCAACCAATAATCTAAACTTCCATTTTCCATGAACTCAAAAACTACAGCTTTGAAGTCATTACCTTTGAAATCTACACTCATCTAAACTTCCATTTTCCATGAACTCAAAAACTACAGCTTTGAAGTCATTACCTTTGAAATCTACACTTGAACATACTGTAACTTTGAAGTCATTACCTTTGAAATCTACACTTGAACATACTGTAAGGATCTTGAGAAGATTCCGATGCCGAATGTTTTTCATGGCATCACATTCTGCTATAAATGTCCTCGATGCTCCTTGTATTTGAAGGTTCAATACCTTAACAGCAACAGCATCACATTCTGCTATAAATGTCCTCGATGCTCCTTGTATTTGAAGGTTCAATACCTTAACAGCAACAACTTTCCTACTTTCACCATCGAGTAGTCCTTTATATACTGTACCAAAACTACCAGTCCCAATCATATTGCCCTCAGAAAATCCATCTGTGGCTCTCACTAGATCACCATAAGTGACCTTCACATTTTGCTCGATTGTGGGTGATGTTACATGAGACCTTTTTCTTGAACCTTTTTGACGGCATCGGACTACGAGGAAACAGAAAAGAAGAGTCACAAATATAAATAAAATAGTACTCCCGCAGATCACTATTACTGTACGCGAGTGATGTTTCTTGTTAAAGGGTTCAGAAGGGCAAGCTGGTAGATGCATTCCTGGGTTCCCTCCACAAAGCTTAATATTTCCAATAATTGAAACTGCACTTGCATTTGCAAACACACCGAGTAGTGGCACTTCACCTTCAAAGTTATTGAAGGACAGATTCAAATAGTGTAGGCCATGAAAATCTTGTAAGAAATCAGGTATTTTTCCCGACAAGTTATTTTTTGAAAAATCGAGCTTCTGGATGCCTCTTAATGAGGCTAAAGAAGAAGGAATACTTCCTTGAAAGAGATTTCCACCAAGATAAAGTCCCTCCAGCACTTGAAACTCACTGACAGTGCTAGGGATTGTGCCGACCAATTTGTTCATGCTGATATCCAATATATTCAAGTTTTTTAAGCTCCCTATCTCAGATGGTATTAGGCCTGACAGTGGGTTGGATGCCAAATTTAAAGATATGGAGAGTCCGGATATGGAGACTACTTCTTTGGGTATACTACCCGTAAGTTTGTTACATCCGAGGTCTAGAAGTATTAGGTTCCGGCACTTTCCAAGACTTACTGGTATATTTCCGCTTAGTTCATTGGAATATAGATAAAGTTTATTCAATCGAGTAAGGTAGCTGATGCTAGATGGTATCTCTCCAGATAGCTTGTTTCTGCCCAAAGACAATAGATGCAACTTCCGGAGCATCCCAATGCTTGGAGGAATAGAGCCATAAAGCGAGTTTCCATACATATTAAGTACCGCAAGGTTTACGAGGTTTCCGATATCAGATGATATGGTTCCAGAGATGTAGTTATTCTGCATATATAGAAACTGTATATCGGTGGAAAGGTTAGCGATTGAATTCAGTAGCACGCCTCTGAGCTTATTTGACGATAGGCTCAACCACTTCAACTGGGTACAATTGGTCAAAGCAGTTAGGAAATTCAATCCATCGGGTTCCACGGTTTCCAGATGGTTATCGCTCAGAAGTAGTGATCGCAGCTCTTTTAAACTTCCGAGGCTGTGAGGGATTATGCCACTAAAGCCATTTGCAGCAAGTTGAACGTATTGAAGACGAGACGCATTGGATAATGACGTCGGGATAGATCCGTGGAATTGGTTGACAG